TAAAAGGATCAAACATCTAACTGTCAGAGTATTAGTCTGGGTCTCCTCACAGCTGAACATTGAAGCTACTGCCATGTCTTAATATGACTATTTATTGCAACTAAAAATAAAAATCTGGGAAAGGTGTCAGAATCACCATTAATTATGATTTTTAATTAAAATCTAATTAAAATTCATCCAATAGCTTGAAAACATACCAAATCCTAGTCTACATTCCTCTCTAGGGGGATCAACAAAGGCTGCCTCCTCAGCCCCAAGTCACCTCCAAAGAAAAACAAGTTAGACTTACGTGCGACTTGCAACCTTTTATTAATTATTTAAGAGGTTTCCATCTTAGTGTTTTTGAAGGTTTTTACAACACCAGACAAAAATGTACAATCCACTGGAAATATTGTAGTAGTATTATACAAAATAACCCGATTTTTGTCTTACATTCAGGCTGTCATTATCTGGCATACAAAAGCAAAGGGCAAAAACTATTTTTCTCTCCTCTCTAGCTGTTTTTGGCAGCTGATGTTTTTTAAAGTGTAGCTCCCTGCTGATGTATGCTATTGAGTATATCTTAGGTAATAAGCAGATATAGCAAAAGATATCCAGGGCAATACACCCTGCTGAAAAACAAGAGATTACTTTTCTGTTCTTCTTGCAGGTAAGTAGCTCCTGACGTATGCATCAGAAGTGGTTTTTCCTGGTGCTCTCTATATAAGACAGTTAAACATTGGTATTCTCTGTCCATTTTACTCTTCAAAAAGAGTTTCTTTATAGTCTAATATAAGTTGTGTCCAAAAACTTAACAACATTACTTGAATTACTTTAATTTTCCTTACTGCAGCTCCATTGCCTTATGGTGTGTGCCTTCGGTTGTAGGGAATGTTCTATGTGCTTATTTTTGTTGTCGGTTTGGTTTTGAAACCATGGTGAGCCAAACATGACTATATTTGTTGCTGTGTACCATAGAACAAGAAGATAGTCCCGGCTCAAAAAAGCCTCAGATTTTGTGTATAAAACGAATTACGAGAGATGAGTATTGATCCGGGAGAGGATTGCCAGTCATTAGGCTGGAGAATAGCCTCGGGAAATCACACTGCCTTGCTGATGACTTTTTTAGACACTATGGTGAAAGATAGTCTGAAGGAAGATTTAAAGTAGATTTGCTAATATCCATAGAAAATTCTAGTAACTGGACATTGGATGATATCATGGGTTAGTGGAAAAAAAAAAGGTATTTTTGTTGACTGCTTTGTGCCCAGAGGCTGTTGTAAATCTGAATGTACTGAGTGAAGGATGGTATGTTCAGTGCTGTAACGCTTTGCAGGGCCTTGAAAATGTAGAGAAGCAGCTTCTGCTTGAAATGACTGAGAAGGGGCTAGAAGAGGGGTGTGGAGAGAGGCGAGCTGGTCAGAGGGGATAGCCGGCACGGATGATCTTTGCAGCTCTCTGAAGGGATTAGATATTAAGATGAGTGCATTTATCTGTATAGTAGAGGAAATCATGCTTTTTAAGAGGTGCTATGAGAAGTAGTGTAAGGTTTAAACATAGTTTGATAAGAGGACACAGAGAAGATGCATAGTGATGCACAGGTTATAAATGGTTTGAGTGACAAACAGGGTAGTGAAATTGTCAGCAGTGATACTTACTAGGGGGAAATTCTAACGGCTGTCTCCATTTTGAGGTAATGCTATGGCACATGTAAGAGGAGTCTGGGCCTTTTAAAAATAAGCCTCCACCTCCTGTAATGTAAGGAGGTGTATTTTGGTTTTTTTTTAAAAAAAAAAAAGGCATAAAAATTTTATTCTCCTTCTTGTTTGTGTTCTTTTATAAAATAGGTTCTTCCATTACCTCCTTATACTTTTTTTTAATAGCCATTAATTCTGTCAAAAGTGAAGCTACTGAAAAGGCTCACCTTTCAGTATCAAGTTCAATTAGGAGTCAATCCTTTTTAAAAAACATGAGGAAAAAAAGCAGCTGACAGAAGTGCTATTGCCTTTAGTATAATTGAGCAAAACATTAACATATCCTCTTTGGTCAGTGCTAGAGTTGATCAGCAGTATCACAGCTGAAAACATATGCTGCTGCAAATGCAAACTTGTTTTTGTTAAAATACTCTGTAATGTGGTGAACAAATTCATAGTACCAAAAACAGGGGCCCCTCTATATGGTGCTGATTGCGGGATTTATTATTCTGTTATTTAAGGTAATGGTATGTTGCTAGGTCAGGAGAAGGGTCACAGTTCTCAGATACAGCACAGCCTTAAGAAATACTCAGAAAGACCAACAATTGCAGAAGTGAAACAAAAATATTATTCAGTCCTGCTCATAAGGTTCTAATTTTCTTGAATTATCCTAAGTGTGATAACAGCTTAGTCCTGAAGCACACACAGAAGCTCTGTTTAGCATTCCCAGGCCTCGGAGCAGTTTCTACAGTTGAACTTCCTTCCTTAAAATGGAGAGTTTTATAAAAGCAAATACCATGTTTCTGAGGCATGCTGGAATGACGGTCTTCTCTTTGCAGGTCAGACATACAGCAGACGGTGACAAAGTCAGTGTTCCCACGCTGTCTGTTCCATCTGCTGACATCTTGAAAAATGTCCATCTAACTGTTCATTTTCTTAAGATAAAAACCTATTGGCATTCTTAATTTTGAGGTCATTCTTGGTACAACTTGGTTATCAGGCTCTTGTGGATTAAAACAACACAATTTATATTGCCCTTTTGATGTGTCATGGGAAATGACCAGCAAAAATTACTTTTCTTGCATTTGTATGAACTCGTGTTCTATTTTATATAACAGACCTTTAGAGGTGGTGAGTTTACTATCTTAATTCGAAGAAAAGGAGTTAGGTCTTTTAATGTTCAATCTGAAATAGTGAAAGACAGTCACCATTGTTTGTCTTATTCTATTAAGTAGTTGTAAAATAATTAGTTCAGATTACTTTTTAGATTGCATAGCTGTCACCTTGAAATCTTCATAATACAGACAGTATTTTAAGGCTGTTTCCAATTTTTTTTTTCCAAATTCGGATACCACCTATTTTATTAATTCAGACTACAAGATAAGTATTTAAATACGTACTCATCTAGATTTAGGGCTGCTAATGTAGGTGGTCAACTACAGTATACTAAGTTTATAAGGTTTAACATGCCATTAAATAATACAGACATAGAAATATTAGATGCCTTTTGGTCAAGGAATTAAAATATCAGTTGGTGTGCTTGTAGATACACAGGAATACAAAAATAGCCATGTGATTTGGGCAGTACACACTCAAATTAATTGAAAAGGTAAAATGTCAATTAAATTAAAAATATTGCTGAAATACTTAATTGGTTCATGATGGTTTGTATGTCTTTGCTTGAGAAGCAATTGTTATGAGACCTGTTGTTTTTTGTTATTTTTTCCCCACTCTCAGCTACTTGCTATCATTTGAGGTTTCAATTGCTTGACGTAGAATTGGTGGATAATTACTAGTGTGGATAACTGAGAAAAATCATATGTAGTAATTTAGTTCTTGGTTCTTTCTACTTGTCTGCCCATTGGTAGTTTGCTAGGGTGAGTAGCTCATTATTCAAACATTTTAAATTGAAAGTACTGTAGAAATAAAAATGCCCTTATTAGTAACATGGTATTGAAAATCAAAGCCTTTTAAACAAACAAGTCATTAGTTCACAAATCTATCCCCAAAGCCATTGCTCACATACTATGAGGAGATTGGGGTTGTGAGGGGGAGAGGAAGGGGAGGGTTGGCAGATAGCGTTCATTTTTCACTGCGTCTGAAATAAAGATGTATCACTGTTTTAAAATATTCTAAAGGTAAATACAATAAAATATGTTGAAATACACCTAACTGGGTAGCTTCATTTGTTAACGATAAACGTCTAAAGTTAATAGACTTTAAGGGCAAATCTAAGCTATTAATTAGGGTTGACCTTGAGGTCATTTTGATCCTCAAATGTGCAAACAAATTTTACAGTAAACATTTTAATTTGCCTGCAGGAGTACTTCCTTCTGAGTCTAATGTCTTCTGGGGCTGTTAATCCTGCTGTTTAATCCACTCGTTTTGAAGCACGCTTAGAACTGAAAAGGCATGATACAGCATTTGTGCACAGCCTCCCTGCAGCCTCCACAACTCGCTTGTTCTTGTTTCCGTTTCTGTGACACTTCCCTCTTCTACAGGCTGTGACTAGAGAGGAGGCTGGTTCTTAAGCTGTGGTGTACTGTGATCAGAGATGCAAAAAGTACCCAAGACAAGGAAGAGTGTGTTATAGAGCTCTGTCTGGGTCTTAACCCTAAAGTTTGATCTGAAATATGAGGGTAGATATTTCTGTTAAAAGTTTAAACATTTGTTTCAACGTTCAAACCTAATAATATACTACTGAATGTCACCAAAGAATGCTCTGTGTTCATAGTAGTATGACTTGAAGGATTTGAAAGCTCATCTGGAGACACTTGGCTTTTCTGTTATCAGATTTTCTCATATACTCATAGATTTGTTCATAAAAGTGCTTCACCTGTCAAAATGTACTATTTCATATGAAAACTTAAAACATAGCACTGTTGTTTGGGTCAAGTTAATTTTGAAATAGACACCAGATCTCCTCAATCTTCTCACTTAATTTTACATTCTGTTTCTAGCTTTAATGAGGTGGAATAAGTATCTGAATTCTTCATTTATATAATTTTTCTTCAAGCATAGATTTTATAATCTAATAGTTCATTGCAATCAAGCTTATGCTTCAGATAATGGGGTTTTTTTTAGTTATGTACTCCACTTGCAACTTTAAGGTAAAGGATTCAAGTTGATGTCACACTTATTTTGTTTAAATTACAAAGCAAAATAGATGTTTCCAGTTTGCACTGTATGTAACAGCTAATGTACCTGAATTTCTTGTTTTCAAATAACATGATGTCATCTACTTCTAATCTTCATGTCTTCTTTACAATTTTTTGTTTGTTTGTTTTCTAGAGTTTAACTTCTCCACTTTTTTTTTTTTTTTAACAGATTTGAAGAACTTGTGAAAAAGTTCAAAGTAGAATATCATGCTGGTGGTTCTACTCAAAATTCCGTTAAAGTGGCCCAGGTTTGTTCTTCCTTAAAAAAGAATTATTGATAATTTGAAGTGTTGAGTTTGAATCAGCTTGATGCTCTGTATTATCTGTGTTCATCATGAGCACTACTGAGTGGGTGCTTGTGATTCTGTTGCTCAGACTATGCTTGTATTTTTTGACATCATTTATTTTGAAGTTGTGCTCTTTATTCTTTTTACACACTTTCTGTTAATGTTGTAGTTACAACTACAATGTACCTAAGAGTGAAAGGGAGGGCTTTAAGGAAGATTGAGCCAGGCTCTTGTTAAAGGGGTGCGGTGGAAGGATAAGAGGCAAGGACAAGATCCCTAGCTGCAGTTAGGAATCCTCCAATGAGGAGAAAAAAGTCTCAATGAGAATGGATAAACAGAGTTGTTGTTGAATATCTGTGCTTGGAGATTTTCATAACTTACCAGGATGAGCTCTTTGGCAACCAGATCTAAATTTGAGTCTGGCCCTGCTTTGAGGGGTGGGTTGGACTACAGACCTGCAGAGGTCCCTTCTAGCCTGCATTGTTCTGTGATTCTAACCACATTCATCTTGTAAGAACTTGAAAGCTTGTCCATAGAAGATTGAAATGTGTAACTTTTTTTTTTTTTATGCAAAGATAATTTTTCTGGCTATGAGTATGATGAAGAACAGTAATGATGAATTGGGATTCAGGTATACTAGCTTTTCTGTAACTAAAGTATGCCTTTTGTCACAATACTCTTAAGCATATACCTGTATATGTATTTTTAGATTGTGATAGATGCACAAATCCTATAAATAAAAATATGCCGACTGTATTTATAACCTTTTTGTTAATGATCCTGGCTTATTAACTTCCAGACTTCCTATACAATTAAAACTTACTGCCAGACAGCATTAAATGCACATTTGGAAGAAATTAAGTTATAATTTAACAAACGTTGCCCCCGCCAATAAAAAGGAAAAATTCATTAAAGTAATAATTGCTGCTCCTTTCTACAAAATAGTTGCTGCTTCTTTACTAAGATTTTCATTTTTGAAACCCCAAGTGTCTTGAAAATATTTATGATAAAAACATTTCACAACAGAGAGAAATCTAAGTTGCATGTGTTTTATTGTATATAGCATTCCAATTCTGAAATGGTTATGTTTTTTACATACAGACAGTTTTCAGAGCTTTTTTGGTTTTTTTACTATATGGTCAAGCCAATTTTTTGCTTCTGATACTTTAAAAAAACCTCTTCAGGAGAGCTCAAGTTATTGGATTCATTCTGTGTCATTAGGACTGTTGCTTGACCTATGGGGATGGTGTAGAGATGGAATGCTGTTGATCTCTTCCATGACAGCTGATTAGAGGTCAACTTTTTGGAGGGAGTTCTGCAACTGTTTATTACTTCAGAGGTGTGAAATTCTGCTTCCATTCCTACATCTAGGTTGAGGAGGTTTAGAAGCAAATGCATATGGTAGGCTCAGTTTCTAAACTTTGAAGTGTTCAAAGAGCCCAGGATTTTATTTCCATCTCTCCTTGAAGTCACCTCTTTGACATCTGCTAGTATAAATTCATATAAATATAATAATTAATAATTAAATAGTAAACTATGTCTCTTACTTAACTGCCTCTTAATCTACCAGTCCAGTTGTTATTCAATGATTATACTATGAAGTACACAGAACCTATATAGAGTCAATGAAAAAGATGATATTTAAATCAATGAAATGTAGGGGTTTCTATGTCAATCCTCCTTTCTAATACTGATCAGTTTTTGTCAGTGAACTTTTCCCTTTACCTTGGCTCTGAGTTGAGAGCCTCATTCAGCTCCAGTTGCCATCTGGAATTGTATCTGTCTCCAGAAGGGTTGTCATCTCCTAGGTTTTGTTTCAAATAAGATTGAAACTTCAAACAGTTGTGCATGAATAACATAACATCACTAAGAGGCTTTAAAAAGGGGAAGGTGGGGGGGGTGAGAGAGAGAAAAGAGAATTCTGGAAATCTTGAAAGAAAGTATTATTCTTTAAGCTTTAGCAGAAGAAAAAAATGTGAGGATAGAAAAAAATAGTTTAAATGTAAACCAAAAATTAAACTAGAAATTCTGGAATAATTTTTGCAGCACTATTCATTGGCATATTGGAGAGAATAGGTGTGTAAGTAATCTTAGATCCCAATAACTTAAATATACATATTTGTTGAAAGTAACAGGAAAAAGCAAAGACTGATTCAGGAAGCCTGACTGGTGGTTGAGAAGTAAAGGACCAATAAATAAGTTCAGAGCTCTGAGGTAGTCACACTCTTAAGTGAATGTGAAGAACGTGAATGTGAAGAAGACACGTGAGAAGAAATCTTAAGAATACAGCTCTTCTTAATTTCTCAACTTGTGTTACTTTATGGGAAAAGCTTGCAAAAGTATGCTAAAAACTGAGAGATATAAACTAAAAAAATTTGTTTCAACGGTTTAAAAGTTGGTGAGAAATAATGGCACGTTAAAGAAAAGCATCCTTGGAAGCCTGACTGCAATGGAATACAACTGTTTGAGTAGAATGGCTGGAAATGAACAAACGGCCTCTGAAGTCTGGCAATTGCTTTTTTAAAGTTCATTTCTGAGTGGGAAGAGTGTATTATTAAGGAGTGTAGTAGGAAAATTGGAGAGCAATTAATAAAATGATTGGAATAATAAAAAGGAAGAATTTAAGCAGCAACTCATTAATAGGTCATTGAATTGTTTGATTCAAATAGTTGCTTCTTTAAGGGTCAGATAACCAATGCTATGTTGAAACAAAAATACCCAAAGGCAAAATGGGTGGGGAAACTTACAGTATATAATGTGTTTAAAAAGGAAAAATGAAACTGTCATATGCTTGCTTACATGGTATATAGTCATCATCACTTCTGTTATACATGCTCATGTGTTTTGGACATTTCTTTTGTATCTGTAAAGATAGTGAGATCTACTCAAGAAAGACTGTATCTCTGTTCCTGAAAAGGATAAGCTAACTTCTTTTAAAAAAAAAAAAGGGGGGGGGGGGGGGGGGGGGGGAAATCACAGAAATAGGCAATAGGAAGAAGCTCTGAATTATGAAGAAAACTGGGAAGAAAATGAAGCTTAAAACATGAGGTTTGGAACTAAAATGTGAAGCAGCATCAACTATAATGGAAATGAAAATTTTTAGAAGTTTACAAAGAATTAACCAGAATTTCAGTCAAGCTGTGAAGAGTAGAATTAGATTTTTTTTTTTCCTAGCCTGTTAACAGAAAGGAAAGATCTGAAGTGCAGCCTTGAAGGAAGAATTTGGCAGGTAAGGTACTAAAGGGAATCTTGGTATTTTTTCAATATTGTCTTGCAGCAGAGCAGAAGTAGAGTGTGTGGCAGGCTGCAGGAGTGAGCGGTGGCTGGAGAGCATTGTGAGAATCAAAAAGCTGAATGTTGACTGCCCAAAGTGGGCATTATGTGGACAGAGTATCTCAGCAGAGTCAGAAAAAGAAAAAGGTCTGGATGTATGAGGAACAGCAGAAAGGATTTTTTTGAAGAAATGCTTCTAATGTATGCTGGAGAAGACAGATTTTTGCAAAATGAAATGTGGAAGCATAATCAAAACATACATTAGAGGGAAAGCTCTGTAAAAGGAAAGGAAGGAGCAATTGAAAAAATTATCCTGTTGCAAAAGAAATACAGAAAACTGTTGGATTAAAAATTGAGAGGATGGAAGATAAATGGTAAAGGGGCAGAAACTTGGAAATATCACAGTCTTACTTTTCAAAGTGTATTATAAAGTGTTTTTTATAAGTACAATAATTTTTTTAAAAAATACCTGAAAATGGTGAAAGGGAGTACCAAGAGCAATATAAAAGTAATAAAGAGCAGTACTGAAGCCAGTGAGATAGGATGTTTATGTTCAAGTTCTCTGGGATATTAAAGTTGTTTGAACATCTGCTGATCTTGAAAACAGTGAGGAAGTCAAAGACGACGACACACACGACGTGATTGGTGTATTCCAGAAATGACAGTAATAGGCATAAAAATGGAAAAGATAAAATAAATGAGATTACAGCTTAGTCATTCCTTAATGAGTTTAAATTAACAGCAAATTATGTCTTGGAAATACTAATTCATATTAGGAGAGGAATAGTGACAGAAAAGTGGAGACAAAAAAGCGTGTGAGGGAAAAGATAAAACTGTTTAAGAGGATAGGAAATAAGTAATCTGGAAAGAGAAAAACAGTATAAAAATCCCACTGTTGCTCTGATTTTGTGTCCCTCACTGTCCCATCCTTGTTTCTTCCCTACCAATCTGCTTTTCCTTGTCCACTCTCATCTTTCTTGGGTGTAAATTTGTTCATCTGGAAGAGAAAAGATGGCTCACTAGAACAGATTGAGTACTTGCTAAGGCCTTAAGGAAAAGTCTTATTGAAATAAATATATTTTCATTTAAGACTTTGGTACTGAGTGGAAAAATAGAGACAGACCACAAAGAATGGGGAGAGGGGAAGAGGAATAATGATAGAGGGTTTTCTTGCATGCAGTACAATACAGAAAACAGTTGGAATCCAGATTATCAGCAAAAATTCAGGTAATGTACTTCTAGAAGTGGTATGTTACTATTAGACACAGTTGCTGAGCTTTTTTTTTCCTTAACCCACCAGTAGGGAGTGTTACTAATGTCAAACTTCGCTGGATCAAGCTGTAATTAATCAGGTGTCAATCACTGAAAATTGCGTGATAGTACTTTGGAAAATGAGGACTAGAGATGATGAACTGAATTGCATTTCGTTTCTGGAATAGAAACTAAAGTTTAACTTTCCTGTTTGCTGTAGTAATCTTGGCATTGGGATTATCCTTTTATGCTAATTTTTAGTTTTGCTTTGTGTTTAAAGTTGAAGTTATGATGCATGCTTCAGAACAGGGAGGAGAGCAGGGGTATCAAATTGAAACTGCAGTGTGATGCTCTGACCTTTACTTGTCTCATTAAATTTTGGCTTTATGTCTAATATGATATGTGACATCTTGCTTTAATCTGAGCTCTTGCAATCC